AATATTCGTGAAATGAACATAAGAAATGGCCAGTGCTATGCTGGCGATGAATTCTGGGGTGGCCCCTGCCAAGTGGAATAAAGTATGCTGACATTGAAATATTCCTCTTTTTTATGCACAGTCCTCTTCCTTTATTTTTCTGCCCATTATGATGAAAGAACCGTTGAATGCGACAAGTGAAAGTGCACGATAATCCATTCCTGTACTTCAACAAATTGGTCAGTTTCAAGTTGATGATGTGCATGAAGGGCAGCAGGAAATGCACAATTGTCATGCCCACATAGCAAAAATAAAATAGTTAATTTCGTCGACACCATTGGAAACATTGTGTTTCATTTTAGGATGTGCCAACATCACTCTGAACGATGTATCCAAGCAGAAGGTATTGCAGGTGTTTTCTGAGTACGGCCCAGTTTCGGCAGTACACTTTGTGCCGAACTGTGCATTTCAGAAGCCATAGGAAGGTGAGTGAGTAGAGCTGGAGAATAATATGCAAACGTATTGCAGAATGGACACCTGTTTGCATTAGCGGAATTTGCATATACCTTCTTTGAAAAGTGCAGTATTTTGAACGGCGAATGGCGTGCGTGTGATTTATGTGATGAGGAGCCTTTCGCTTACTTGTGTGTTGATGGAAAGCAGAATGAGGAGGTACAATCAGCGAATATTTTGCATGCAGGTGAAGTGGACCTGAAGACATCGTTTCCACTTTCCCGGTTTCTTCGTGGACAATCACACGTGGAACTCACATTTGCTGTTCAAGGCGCAAACAGTGAATCTTTGGTTTGTAAATTGTTGTATTAATGTTGTGAAAGCATAACTTTATGTTTCTAACAGCACTCGAGTAGTCTTTTGCATTATTTGCTCATAACACTGTACTGGACGAATTCTGTCCCTAAATCTTGATTTAAAATATAGGTGCACTTCGCTATAAATAGAGCACTCCTGTGAACTTGGGAAGGCAGTACTCTTCAAGTGTCCTATTCGCCTTTCTGCCGTGAGTTTAATGTGCATTCAATCGGGTCATTTTTTGTGTTCTCAACTTCAACTGAAGTGCCAATCACGCCTTTTTCTACCCAATCAAGGTAATTTGACACAAGATACGCAGTCAGATCTAAGAATATTCATCGCCAACTTTACACGACATAACAAGGATGAAAATAGCACTTATGGATGGGCTACTGCGAACAGCATGCTGGAAGTAACTATAGACTAGATGCAGGGAGGTGAGTGAATATCCCTTCTGATAAGTCAGGACTGCCATCTTTCTTTGCAATGAATCTGCTTCATCACCACTATTGCACGATTACTTGAGGTGAAATTAAGTCTTATCTGGAGAGAAAAATTGTACAATGGATGTGAAAGTTGCTGAAAGTGTTGCATTGATTTAGGTGAGTCGCCAGAAATCGCACAATGCCGCGGTAAGTTCAAACTCACGCCTATGCGACGATGAGCATAATACCAGACCATGCCACTCATTCCAACATTAACTTCCTCTTTGTGCTTTCAATATACTCCAACGTGCGTGAAGTGCATTAGAGTAGTCGGGATTGTTTGGTGCTGATGAGAGTTTAGCGAGCAACTTGGCATTGACTATTTGCTGACCACTTGATTGATGTGACTTTCAGAATACCAGGCCAGAAGTGGTAAGTAAAGTGAAACGTATCATGACCAAATCAGTACTGCAAAGTTGGTTGCAAAAGTGGCAAATCCTAAAAGATGAAAAATATATGGTCTACGTGACGCGTTTTACCGCCTTCATGTTGTATGGCATACATACATTCAATGCTCAGTGCTGAGTCCCATTTGTGCAAAGCACATTGCCCCACATCCCTCAAGAAGTATATAAACTGGAACACAGAAGTCTGCTTTGAAAGGAGAGCAGTAACTTATATCTGTATTCTAGTAACCAAATGTCAGTTTAATCTGTTCACAAGTTAATGCGCCACCCTGGCTGCGACATCCTCCCGTGTGTTACAGTTGTTTCCAATCCTGGTGGCAACACCCAGGTTTCATTCATTTTTCACTTTTGCACGATATCTTCATTCATGATCGACTATGCTAGCTTTAGTACTTTCACTTTACATATGCAGCAAAAATACCCTTTTTATTGGCAAATTTCGAAAGCCGCGTTCATTAGTACGGCATGGCGCGAGTTGTGCTTGCATTGAAGTTGATTTGTTCCCTTTTTCCTTTGATGATTGTGTGCAGCAACAACTTCCTCGGGTAAGTTGACTAAGCGATCATTTGTAGTGGCATTCACCACCCTAACACGCTTCTTCAAAGCAGCAAATTTTTTGTCTATTGTGTTGTAATTATCCAATTGATTTCTCTGCTTTTTTCCCTCCGCCAGGACGTGGACAGGCCTACACTTTGAAGTGTAAGTTG